ATGACGTCACATGCGCGCTTTCGTCGAGCGCGATTTTGTCCTCCGCGCTTTTGACGGGTCACGGATATACTAAGTGAATCTGGGTTCCTCATTGACTTTGCTTGTCAGAAGGTTGCAAAAGGTGATTGCATGACCCCAAGACATTAAAACCATCAAATGCATGCCAGTTGCCAAGTGTCTAAATTTTCATGACATGGCCACAGGGCATGGCAACAGTCATAAATCAGTTTTTTTCAGTGCTGTTGTAACTTTGGTCACTAAATGAATGGTTATAAGCTGGGACTACCTATACACAGGTTTTTCTAATCAGAGAAAGTCAACATAGCAACAAATTTCAGCAGATGGATAATATCAAACCATTCTTGCTTTAAAAGGAAATCTAAAATGTTATATAGAACCGCCCTTGTATTTTTAAGATTGCATGTTACAAAGGATTCTCAACATATTTTTGGCAGTCTTCCTCAACCTGTTAGTCTCCAGAGAAGTTGAAATAAAATGCATAAATATTTTGCCAGACTATTAACATAGAAGACTGGGACTTGCAGTCTAACTTCTCTGAAGGGCATCACATTGGGGAAGAGTGATGTTAAATTACCTACTTGGTAACAAATCCCAAAATTGATTGCTTGACTTGGACAAAACTGATGGCTTGGCTTAACTCAGATTTGACCAATTAGATCTTTGGTATACATTCTGACAGAGGTTCTATTGTTATGTTTTACAGTAGTTCAGTGTTTTCTTTAAATTTTTTCCTAATCCCCTTGTTTAAGAAAGTTCTTATTATCTCAGTGAAATATAAATATACCTATGATAATTGCATTGTGCTCTTTTTATGTTTTGCATTTTTATAAAGAACATTATAGCAAGATAAGTCACATAATTTTGACAAATTGGATCTCCTATCCTTTGCCTTTCAAGTCTTTTTTTCTTGTTCATCTTGATTTATTAGTCTGGGTGGAAGGCCTATTTGTCTCTATATAATTAATATGAGTCATTAAGGGACAGTAATTGTCTGAAAAGCAAAAAAAATAGGATACATTTCTCAGATGTGCATTTTGCACATACTAGATATGCTTAGGGCTATTTTTAAAGCCAGACCTCCACATTTTATCCTGCATTAATAAACATAAAATATGTATCTCAAGTTCAAAAGTAGTTTCCAGCATCATCTGTAAAACATTATTAAGACGCTGAAGGGAGGCTGCCCTATCATTGAGTTCACAGCACATGGCTTCTAAAAATTTTTTTAAAAGTTTTTTTATTTTAATTGAACAAAAACACACAAAAAAAAGAATCATCCTTCATTGCATCTTGTAGAAAGCGTGTCGGTTGGTTACAGATAAATTTCATGCATTTCTTCCACAGTCATTACTTATAGTTCATATTAGATTATACACTTTAAATCAAAAATCTTTGTATCTTACTATCAAAGTACCAC